CTTACTTTCAAATCTTCCCCTACTTCCTGATTTTTCCTAGTTTAGCAATACCCACTGACATGCTCTGAGGGCTTACTGTGCTCTCTGTGTGTCACATGCAGTCATATATATGTTCCCAGCACCATGAGTTAAGAATTATCCCTATTTTTGAGTCACATGACTAATGACAGCTGGGTTTCACCTATCTAAGCCTCTGCCCCCAACATAACATTGCTTTTCTCCCTCCCCTCCTGCCTGCTCTTTGCTTTTCTCCTGTCTCCTCTGGCTCTGCCTACTCTCTCCTGTTCCCTGCCCCTGGCTCTGCCGAGGGGGCGGTGCTCAGCCTGGACCCTTGCAGATGTATCTGTGGCAGCAGGCCACACAGACCGAAGTGGGCTGGGCAGTGTCCTGAGAGACCTAGTGAAGCCAGGCGATGAGAACCTTCGGGAAATGAACAAGAAGCTGCAGAACATGTTGGAGGAACAGCTCACCAAGAATATGCACTTGCACAAGGCGAGTGTGGACCACCTGCCTCCCTACCCACAGTCCTTGGCGGTGCCCTTCCTAGTTGCCCTTGTCCTCCCAATACCACCTTCTACTCATCAGCCATCCTTTCGTGTTCCCCTCTTCTACCCTCCGATCAACTTACCAGTTGAGCCTACCACTCTTCCATCTGTCCTTCCACCCACTCATCCATTCAGTTTTTTTGTTTTTTCAAAACAGAGTTTTTCTGTGTAGCTTTGGAGCCTATCCTGGAACTTGTTCTGTAGACCAGGCTGGCCTCGAACTCACAGAGATCCACCTACCTGCCTCTGCCTCCCAAATGCTGGGATTAAAGGCGTGTGCCGGTGATGCATCATTCTTTCATCTATTCAGCTATCACCCTTTCCCCCACCTACATGTCACACGCCTACCTACCTTTTTGTCCTCTACAAAGTTCATTTGTGAACCTATTTGTCTGCCAAAGATTCCTGATGAGTTCACCCACACAATGATTCCCCCACCCACCCAAATATTCCATCATCACTAAGGGAGTCATATCCAGGTCCTACCTTGGAGAAGCAAGTGGACATTTGTTAGATGAGAAAGTAGTGGATCTTCCCATCCAAGGCCTGATACCACTGGGCTCTGGTTAACCCAACAGTCCATTTAACTACAGATAACATCTCATATTTGCTACCAGAGCTGCTGCGCCCTTTGTCCCCTTCTCTAGCTCCTGATGGATCATTTGTTTCTTAGGACATGGAAGTTCTATCCCAGGAAATTGTACGGCTCAGCAAGGAATGTGTGGGGTCCCCTGACCCGGACCTAGAACCTGGAGAAGCCAACTAAAGACCTACGGGCTGCACCTACTTCCATTCCCTTCCAGAATGCCATTCACTCCCTGGGTTGTGGTGGGAAAATAGAGGCTGGCACCAAATCTAATATTTTAGGAGATGGACATTAAGAGGGCTAGGAGTCTATCTATGGCTGGTATTGATGACCCCCATCATATGGCCAGAGGCCCTTGTGGGGGAAAGATCCTGAGGGAAGGGCATGGATTTTTTTCTTCTTGGCTCCCAGGGGCATCTGCCTTCAACTCTGCATGAGCTCTCCCTCCCAGAGACCAACTCTTTTCATTTTATTTTTTAATTTATGTTTGGAAGCCTGGCTACTCTGCATTTGGGACTGGGGATGTTGGGTGGGGGTGCAGTCCATGCTCAATGTTCCAGCAATGTGTGTATGTGTGTGAGTGTGTGTGTGTGTAAAGGCTTTGCAGCCCAAATACCATCTGGCCAGACGGGCCCACCAACTGACTGTGTGGTCTCTTTCTTTTCAATCGAGGGACGTGTTGGGAGTGGGGTGGTCATTGCACTGACTGTGTGGTCTTGTTCTTTTCAATCGAGGGACGTGTTGGGAGTGGGGTGGTCATTCCTCTGGAATGGGGAAGGTGGCCTCCAGCTCCAGTTTTTCTTCTTCCAGTCTCAGTTCACCTGGTTGCTGACAGACCTCTCAAAGGGAGTAGCAGAAATATCTGCAGATATGGGGGGGTATTAAATTGAGGGTATAGATGAATGAGCAGATGGGAGGGTGGATAAGTGGTTAGATGGACTGAGGGATAAATAAGTGGTCGTATGGCTGGAAATTAATGCATAGGTAGACGGATGCATGGCTGGATGAATAAATGAGCAGATGAATCTGTAAGTGGATAGAGTATGGGTAAATGGAGGTACAAATGGACAGATGGATGTCTAGCAGGGTGGACAAATGGATAAATGGGTGAATTAACTGTGAGTAGATTGATGGATTTATAGATAAGTTGGGAGTAAACTGGCAAGGCTAGAGTGGAATTATGGATGCATAAGCGAATGAAAGGGAAGGGTAAGTTGGAGGCATACATGATGGGGGAAGCTGGAGAATGCATAGACGCATGGAAAAAGGTCTTTAGGAAAAGGTTGGCAAACGGTTAGAAGCTGAGGGGTAGGTAGGTGACTGAATGGCCAGAGGGGTACCTAGAGGAATGGGTAGGGTCATTGGTTATGTGGGCAGGAGGATGGGTGGGCGAAAGAATGGACAGATCAGGAGTATGAAAAGTTAGCAAGTGAGTATCGTGGGTAGGCGGGTGGATTGAAAGGCTAGGCACTCTCATCAGACACCGTTAGTTACTTAAGACCAGGCATCCTGCCAGGCCTTACCTGTGCCCACCCCATTCACATTGCTTCAGCTGATGCTCAAAAGCACACTGTCAAGTTGGGATAATTCTGACAACTGAGAAAACAAGTCACCTGGTTAAGGGCACAGCAAGTCTGGCAAAGCTGGGGTTAGAACTCACAGACATCCCAGAGGCACTTGGTGCTCTGCGTTCCGAAGGGCAGAAGCAGATCCCACCATGGAAAGAGGTGTGATTTGAGGGCATGGGATACAAACAGATGGGAATTCTGCTCCTTTGGCAAGGGGCCTACGGGTAGGGAGTGGTACCTGGATTGTCCCCATCTGCACTACCTTTGCTCGGCATCTTGCATCCTCAGACTGGAAGGTGTATACTGGAGCCCCACAAAGTCTGGTTTAGAAGTTGGGCTCTGACCTATGCCCTCCCCCCAGAGTGGATCTGGAGGCCTGGTCATCCCCACCAGTCCCCCCTCCCCCACCTTTCCCCGCCCTTCCACAGGGGGGGGGGGGCAGGGAGGGGACACAGCACTGCATCATTCCCCGTGGCACTCCGCTCTGGGGCCATTAACAGACGCCTCCCCATCGATTGGTTCTGCTAAGTGCTGCTGATTCAGACGGGTGGGGGTGAGAGCCCCTGGGGGCAGTGGGGGTAGGAGCTGGGCAGAAAGAAGGGGGAGTCCAGGAAGTAGGAGGTGGGGAGAACTGGCAAAGTTCCCTGCCACCCCCATTTTCCAGATGACGCGACTGAGGCCCAACCAGCTTTGTAAGGAGGCGGAGTCTCCCCAGGGTCTCTCTCAAGCTATCCTAGGGGAAGGGGCTCTGGGAGCCACGTGGCCCCTCCCTGCCTCTCGCTTCATCTCCCGACAAGCTCCAGAGGGGCGGGGAGAGAACGCTGGAGGAGGAGGAACTCCGGCAGCTCTGCAGAGGGGCAGGAGCTCCGGTGTTTGGTACCCCCAGCCCCAACGCTGTTGCTGCAGCTGCAGCGGGGACACAGGTGAGGACAGCCCTGTGGGGAGAGGGAGGGGACCATCACTAGCTCTGTCCTTGTCTTTTCCTGGTGCGGTCCCCATGTCCTAGTCCATCCTGGTACAGTCTCCAGGGGTCCCACTGGACCTTGTCCTTCCAGAGCCTTCTTCCAAGGACCCAACAGCCTCCTCCCCCTGTCTCCCACCCCGCCCCCGCCTGTTCCACCTTTCCCTCCTAGGCCTGGCTGTGGCTCTTCGCTTCCTCCTCCTCTGCTGCTGCTACTGCTGCTGTTGTTGCTGCTGCTCCGGCTACTGCTACTGCTGTTGCTGGGTACACACCGCCAGCCCCTCGGGGTGTAGCTTCCTCAGACCTGCCTCCAACGGTGGGACCCAGCCTTCTCCTAGTCTCCCCTACCAGCTTCCTGCAAGGTTCATCAGCCCCCTCTCCTGGAAGACACACCCAACTTTCTTCCAATACCCCGCCCCCTATCCAACCTATTTTGAGGGAATTCCCTTCCTCTTTGCATAGTCTTTTGCGAGTTTCTTGTGTGCTCAGGGGGCTATACCCAACTTCAGTCCAGTTGAGTATTGGCCCTTTGGGATTCCCCACATCCTCCCTTTCCTCATTCAGAGCTCTTGATAGGGACCAGGCTTCCTAAGCCCCATCCAGGGAACCTCTCTGCTGCATATCCCCTGGCCTCTTAAAAAATAAGCTAGTCCCATATACCACTTTAGCTATCCCCCTTTCTCAATCCTCTTTAGAGGGCCCTCACCTCTGCTACTTTCCCCGGAACTCCTGGAGATTGTAGACACATCCTCCAGGCTATTCTTGGCAGCACTAGTCACTCCCCAGACACTTTTTAGTATCTTTACAACCTCCCGCTGTCTAGCCACCCTTGAGATGCTCCAGTCCCCTTTATTGATCTGCAAGGGGGCTCCAACCCAGGCATCTTTTCCCATCAGTCTTCTGGGCGTGGACAGTCCTTCAGCCTCTTTCAAACATCTCTGGTCCTGTTCTCCAACTCTCTGAATGCCTCTATCTGCCTCCTCTTCAGCTCAACCGAGGGGTTCCAGGTCCTTCTTTATTGGGAAGTCTTGTGAGTGTGAACAACCCCCCACCTATGTCTTGGTCCCTCTGAACACCCTCAGACATCTCTCAGGAATGTGTTGACTTTAGATTCATCTCAGTCTTTCTAGACTTGAGGATCCTTCTTGGTTCCTCTAGCACTTTAACCCCTTCTTAGTCCCCTAGAAACCCCCAATACTCCCCAAGCGCCTGTCTGTCTCTCTACTTCCTCCTCCTCTGGTTCCTATTGGTTTCTCTCTCTCTCTCTCTCTCTCTCTCTCTCTCTCTCTCTCTCTCTCTCTCTCTCCACACACACACACACACACACACACACACACACACACACACACATCAGTTTCCTTGTCTGGGTAGCCCAGGGTCTCTCCAAGCCTCCTCCATCCTGGAGCTAGTCACATTCTCCTAAACATCACACCCCCAAGTCTCCTTGGGCCTGGGGGAGCTGCAGGATGGCGGCCGGTGTGGCCACATGGCTACCATTTGCAAGAGCTGCAGCAGTGGGCTGGCTGCCCTTAGCCCAGCAGCCCCTGCCCCCTGCACCGGAGGTGAAGGCATCCCGAGGTGATGAGGTACTGGTGGTGAATGTGAGCGGTCGGCGCTTTGAGACCTGGAAAAACACGCTGGATCGCTATCCAGACACATTGCTGGGCAGCTCAGAGAAGGAATTCTTCTACGATGCTGAATCAGGCGAGTACTTCTTTGATCGTGACCCAGACATGTTCCGGCACGTGCTGAACTTCTACCGCACAGGCCGGCTGCACTGCCCCAGGCAGGAGTGCATCCAGGCCTTTGACGAGGAGCTAGCCTTCTATGGCTTGGTACCAGAGCTTGTGGGCGACTGCTGTCTTGAAGAGTACAGGGACCGAAAGAAGGAGAATGCAGAGCGCCTGGCAGAAGACGAGGAGGCTGAGCAGGCCGGGGAAGGTCCAGCCCTTCCAGCAGGCAGCTCCCTGAGACAGCGACTCTGGAGGGCTTTCGAAAACCCACACACGAGCACTGCAGCACTCGTTTTCTACTATGTCACTGGCTTCTTCATAGCCGTGTCGGTCATCGCCAATGTAGTGGAGACCATCCCATGCCGTGGCCCTGCCCGGCGACCCACGAGAGAGCAACCCTGTGGTGACCGCTTCCCGACGGCCTTTTTCTGTATGGACACAGCCTGCGTACTCATATTCACCGGGGAATACCTTCTGCGGTTGTTTGCAGCCCCCAGCCGTTGCCGCTTCCTGCGCAGTGTGATGAGCCTCATCGATGTGGTAGCCATCCTGCCCTACTACATTGGGCTTTTTGTGCCCAAGAATGATGATGTCTCTGGTGCCTTCGTCACCCTACGTGTGTTCAGGGTTTTCAGAATCTTCAAATTCTCCAGACACTCCCAGGGCTTGCGGATTCTGGGCTACACCCTCAAGAGCTGTGCCTCCGAGTTGGGCTTTCTCCTCTTTTCCCTCACCATGGCCATCATCATCTTTGCGACTGTCATGTTCTATGCTGAGAAGGGCACTAGCAAGACCAACTTCACAAGCATCCCTGCTGCCTTCTGGTATACCATTGTTACCATGACCACACTTGGGTAAGTGTAGACCTTGAGCTGGGAGCTGGGTATCCAACTGCCAGACACATACCCTTTCTGTAACATTAAAAGGTTAGAACATACCTGTACGGTAACGAATGAATATCAAACCCAGAGCCTCACATGGAGGCTTCACACCTACAAAATATGTGCTGTGCCTCTGCCTGCCACCCCACTTTTGAGACAAGGTTGTTGTGCTATGTATAGCCCAGGCTAGGTTCAAACACATTACCTTCCTGCCTCCACTTCCCCATGGCTGGGATTACAGGTATATACATACCAGCATGCTTGGCTCCTTTATCTCCTTTTGAGCTCCAGTTTGCTAATCTATAAAAATTAAAAAAACTGGGACTGGAGAAATGGCTCAGCAGTTAAGAGTACATACTTCTTTTCTAGAGGACCCAAGTTTGGTTCCTAGCACTCAGGTTGGAGGGCTCACAACGGCCTGTTATTTGAGATCGAGGGTATCTGATGCCTCTGGCCACCCAGGCATCTGTGCAGTTGTGCACATGTCTGCACACATATACGTAAATTAAAAATAATAAAATAATAATAAATCATCTGTTTTTTTAGTTTTTTGAAACAGAATTTCGCTATGCAACCTTGGCTGGCCTGGGACTTGCTATGCATATCAAGCTGGCCTTGAACTCATAGAAATCTGCCCACCTCTGCCTCCAAAGTGCTGGGATTAAAGGTATGTGTCACTATGCCTAGCAAAATAAACCTCTTAAAATAAATTTTAGGGGGTTGTAGAGATGACTCACTGGTTAAGAGCACTTGCTGCTCTTGCAAAGGACCCAAGTTTGGTTCCCAGCATCCACATGGCAACTAACAACCATCTGCAATTCCAATTCCAGAGGGTCCTTTAAACTAACAGCCCAGCCAAGATGTACCCAGTCCTAAAGCCAGTGGGGGGGGGATTTCTGTGGCTCTGTGGCTGCTTCTAAAGGTAGTTCTTTTTTCTTTTTCTCTCTCTCTTTTATTTTTTTATTTATATATTTTTGTTGTTGTTGTTTTGAGACAGGGTTTCTCTGTGTAACAGTTCTGGCTGTCCTGGAACTCACTTTGTAGACTAGGCTGGCCTCGAATTCACAGAGATCCAACTGCTTCTGCCTCCTGAGTGCTGGGATTAAAGGTGTGCGCTACCACTGCCAGGCTTCTAAAGGTAGTTCTAACTAAATCTCTATCGTTCTAATAAAATTCAAGATTCAAAGGCTAGGGTGAAAACCTGCCAGCTCAGAGAATTAGAGTAACAGCTGGCTAACTTTGTCTCTTTGCTGGTGTCCTAGAAGCCAATCCCTTCCACACTACCCCAACTAAAACACACACACACACACACACACACACACACACACACACACACACACACACACACTAAGTTCCTCCTTGCTACTTTCTGTCAACCTCTTACTAACCCCGCCTCTCTGAGCCCAGGTTAATTTTATTTAATTAACGCAAATACAACACATCTTTACATAGTTATCAGATGCAGGATGAACAAATTTAACATATCTTTGCCTGGCTAAACAAATATTCTCCAACAGTACACAAATTTACATGCACGCAAAACACTCACAAATGTAAAGTAAAATATATCAATATTAATAAAGTAAAATTTAGCTTGGTTGGTGGGGCACACCTTTAATCACACCACCTTAGTAGAGACAGGCAGATCTCTGTAAATTCAAGGGCAGCCTGGTCTACACATCAGTTCCAGAACAGCCAAGGCTACACAATGAGATCCTATCTAAAAATATTTAGAGAAGTCAAGTGTGGTGGTGCAGGCTTTTAATCTCAGCATTTAGGATGCAGAGGCAGGCGGATCTCTTTGAGTTTGAGGCCAGCCTAGATTACATAGCAAGTTCCAACCCAATGAGGTTACATAGCATGGCCCTATCTTTAAAGTTTATAATCCCTCTCGGCTCTGAACGTATCTTGATTTTTCCAGGTTAGGCTTCAAAAATTGTCCATGTTGCTCTCATTTCTTGTCACACTCTCTCAGGGTCCCAGTTTCCTTCTCTTTTCTTTTAGATGCTGTGTAGCCCAGGCCTGCCTGGATTCACTGGATAGTCGGAGCTGGCCTCAGACTCAAAGCCTCCTAACTACTGGGATTGTAGGCATGAGCCACCGTGTTAGGCTTTAGGTTTCCCTCTTTGTAAAGTGGGAAATGAGAGCCTTAAGAGGATTCAGTGTGCCGGGTGGTGGTGGCACACGCCTTTAATCCCAGCACTCGGGAGGCAGAGGCAGGCGGATCTCTGTAAGTTCGAGACTAGCCTGGTCTATAGAGCTAGTTCCAGGACAGGCTCCAAAACCACAGAGAAACCCTGTCTCGAAAAACCAAAAAAAAAAAAAAAAAAAAAAAAGAGGATTCAGTGATACCACGTGAGTTCTCTGAATGTTTCTGGCGCAGGATATTTAGGTGCATGGCTTCTTGTCACCAAATTTTTCCATTTTGAACATGCATGCCATGATTTTTCAACCTTCTAAAACTGCTATATGACTGTATAGACACAGCCGCTGGGAGTTCGTGATTCCTTGATGTTTTCCAGAAGGTATTTTCAGCATTACTTTTGTATTGAGATAGATTTTTACCAAGTAGGCCAATCTGGTCTTGAACTCACCATCCATTTGCCTTTGCTTCCTGAGTGCTGGGACTCCGGGTCTATGGCACCCAGCTGACTATATCAGTTCTGTATTATTATAATAAATCAGTATTATTTTGGTTCTGTGAGACAGGGTTTCTCTGTGTAGCAGTCTTGGCTGTTCTGGAACCCACTCTGTAGATCAGACTGGCCTCGAACTCACAGAGATCCACCTGCTTCTGCCTCCCAAGTGCTGGGATGAGTATTATTTTTTACTGCCAATCCCTGAGAGGAAACAGTTGAGATAGATACAGATGGAATTGCCAAATTCATGATTTTTTTGTTCGTGGAGGGACATTATTGGGGCTTGAACCCAAGATCTCACCACAGTAGCCATAGGCTCTGCCCCAGCTTTCAGTGTTTTGTTTTGTGGCAGACTCTCAATTTGTACACCCAGGCTGGCCTCAGATTTACAATGATCCTATTCCTGCCTCTGTCTCCCAAATGCTGGGATTCTAGGCTTGTGTCACAATTCAAAGCTTCCTCTCTCTCTTTAACCCTGTGTGTGTGTGTGTGTGTGTGTGTGTGTGTGTGTGTGTGTGTTCACTTGCGTGTGTGCACGCGCGTGTGTGCTTTGAGCATGTACATGTAAGAATATGCATATGGAGGTCAGAGGACAACTTTGTAGTCTCTCCTTCCACCTTTACCTAGAGTCCAGGAAATTTGTTTTCTGTTTTTGTTTTTCAAGACAGGGTTTCTCTGTGTATCCCTGGCTGTCCTGGAACTCTGTAGACCAGGCTGGCCTCCACCTCAGAGATCCACCTGCCTTTGCCTCCTGAGTGCTGGGATTAAAAGTGTGCGCCACCACACTCTGCTACCTTTTAAACAATGTTTTATTTATTTTTCGAGAGAGGGTTTCTCTGTGTAGCCGTGGCTGTCTGGAACTCTCTCTGTAGATCAGGGTGGCTTTGAACTCACAGAGATCTGCCTGGCTGCCACCTTTATTTTTTTGAGACAGAACCGGAAGCTCATCCATTCAACTAGATTAGCTGACCAGTGCCACGCCTATCTCTGTCCTCCAGGGCTGGGATTCTAGGCACACATCTTGATACAGCTTTTACCATGGGTTCTGGAGATCTGAATTCAGGTTCTCATGCTTGCATGTACAACAGGTATTTACCAACTGAGCCATCTCCCCTGCCTCCTTCCAGTGCTTTTCAGACATTGGAAGGCAGATGCTGTGATTCTTCTCTAAATTCCCATCTCTAGGATTAAGTAGACTGTTGTCATTCAATGTCTGTAGAAAGAATGGTTGAATTTGTTCAGTACCCAATAGAAGTACAAAAGTTTCTAAGAAGTACAGATTAATTCTGCTTGGAAGTTCATGACTGGATCAAATCAATAAATATTGAGTACGAAGAACGAGTTAGCAGTAGGTATCTTGCTGTCTTTTGCCATATACTGTCCTCAGAACAATTGTGACGGTAGGTGTTCCTGTGGCACATAGGTGAGACATAGTCTGAGATGATTATCACATAGCTAGAAATGGCCAAGCTAGAGAGGTTCTGGGCACAGTCCTGAATGCTCAGAACAAATGAGAAGATCCGGAGATGTCGCTCAACTCATACAGTGCTCGCCTGGCACCTCTAAAGCTCTAGGTTGAATTTCCAGCACTCCATAAATTGAGCGGGATTACAGGTGCCTGTAATCCCAGTACACAGTGGGAGGTGGAAGCAAGAGGATCAGAAGTTCAAGGTCATCCTCAGACGTGTAGTAAGTTTGAGGTCTGCCTGGAGACCCTGTCTGAAGATTGCAGAGGCTGAATTTCTCAAAGGAGTTTCTGTTGGTCTCGTGGTTAGAAAAAAAAAGTGTGCTGTATGTTCCTGGGCAAATCAACTATGGCGCCTTCTCTGAGCTGGTTCTGCTCTTGTTCCATGGGAGAGTGATGGTTTGGAGGAAGGCAGGGTAGTTTTGAGGCTCCCTGTCTTTCTTTTTTAAAAGAAAAATAATTTATTTAACTTTATTTTTTGTGCATTGGTGTGAAGGTGTCTGGTCCCCTGGAATTGGAGTTAAATTATGAGCTGCCGTGTGGGTACTGGGCATTGAACCTGAGTCCTCTGGAAGAGCAGCCAGTGCTCTTAACCTCTGAGCCATCTCTCCAGCCCCTAAAATAACACACTTTTTTCTTTCTTTTTTTTCTTCCTCAAGAGATAGGGTTTCTCCGTATAGCCCTGGCTGTCCTGGAATTCTTGGAACTTTCTCTGTAGATCAGGCTAGCCGCAAACTCAGACATCTGCCTGCTTCTGCCTCCTGAGAGCTGGAATTAAAGGTGTGCACCACTACTGCTTGGAGGCTCCCTATCTTTCATAGGACGACACTTTCCAGGCTTCTTCTGGGGGATATTTGAAGGGGTCCTTCCTAAAGAATGTAGAGAAGCAAGTAAAACCAACAGACTGCTTCTGGAATACAGAGCCTCTCATCTGAACTGGAGAGGCGGGACTCTCTGACTCCTGAGCCATTTCTCTAGCCGCCAGGATCCTGTATTTGCTCTTTGTTTTCCCTTTTGCTGGTGTTAGTAGGTTTCCAGATGACAATGATGCCCAATTCATGGCTTCGATGAGAGCAGCAGACGGCAGAAACTGAAGGCAACCCCATTTCTCATTTGACCGCTACTGCTGGGGACCAGAGAAGTCGTTCTTCACATTTTGAATTGTTTGGTTTTTGAGTCAGGGTTTCTCTGTGTAGCCCTGGCTGTCCTGGAACTCACTCTGTAGACCAGGTGGGTCTCAAACTCAGAGATCACCTGCCTCTGCCTCCCAAGTGCTGGGATTAAAGGTGTGTGCTACCACTGCCTGTCTATTCTTCGCATCTTGAAGATTTATTTTTTACTAGTTTTAAATTATGTGTATAGTATGTGTCTGTGTGTGGGTATGTGCATGTGAGTGCAGGTTTCCCTGGAGTCCAGAAGAGGGCGTTGGATCCTCTGGTGCTGGAGTCACTGGTAGTTGTGAGCTGATTGACATGGATGCTGGACTTGGGTCCTCTACAAGGCCTAACCACTAAGCTATTTCCCTAGGCCCCGTTCTCCAGATTTTCAGTGTAAGGAACTGAAGCTGGGGCTAGGGCAATGGCTCACAACTTGCTGCTCACGACCATCCTTAGCTCCAGTTCCAGGATCTGACACTGTCTTCTGGATGCATGTGGTGCACATCCTTCCATGTAGGCAAACACTCATGCACAAAAAATAAAATGTAAAAAGAGCTGGGCGGTGATGGCATACCCCTTTAATCCCAAGGCAGAGGCAGGCAGATCTCTGAGTTCAAGGCCAGCCTGGACTACAGAGCAACACTCTCCAAAAACAAAAACAAAAACAAAAACTTTAAAAGAAAGAAAGAAACTGAAGCTCAGAGAGTACGTGTGTTTGGCCAAGTTTGCAGAACACATCAGGTGTGGGTGGGTGGAATCGGGGATTATTGAACACCTCTTCAACCTTGGCCTGCCTCTATCTTTTCCAGGTATGGAGACATGGTGCCTAGCACCATTGCTGGCAAAATTTTTGGGTCCATCTGCTCACTTAGTGGTGTCTTGGTCATTGCCTTGCCTGTACCAGTCATTGTGTCCAACTTTAGCCGCATCTACCATCAGAACCAGCGTGCTGACAAGCGCCGAGCACAGCAGGTAACTTTATCACCATTCCGAGCACCGTTCCTTACACCCTAAACCCGTCTGTCCCTGGTCTCACGTGTCTAATCTTTTGTCTCCTCTCTGTAGAAGGTGCGCCTGGCAAGAATCCGGTTGGCAAAGAGCGGCACCACCAATGCCTTCCTGCAGTATAAGCAAAATGGGGGCCTTGAGGTGGGGAGGTGCATTTATTGGGGTTAGGGGTGAGCAGGGTTGTGAGGGGAAGGTGCTCACTGCCTGTTTCTGCTCCGTCTCTTCCAGGATAGTGGCAGCGGGGAGGGACAGGCACTGTGTGTTCGGAGCCGTTCTGCTTTTGAACAGCAGCATCACCATTTGCTGCACTGTCTAGAGAAGACTACGGTGAGGCCAAACAAGATGTCACCTGGCAGGAGGGAGGTCTTTCTGGACACCGAGTTGCTTCCCTCACTGAGATGAAAGCCTTACCATGTAGTTGTGAACATCACATGGTGCTCCCTTTAAGAGACCGAGTCTTGTGGCAGATGCAGGTGATCTCAATGAGTTCGAGGCCAGCCTGATCTACATAGTGAATTCTAGGCCAGCCTGATCTACATAGTGAATTCTAGGCCAGCCAAGGCTACATAGGCTACACCTTGTCTCAAAAAAAGAGGCTTCTAGGATGGGCAAGGAAAGAAAAGGGAGAGTGAACGACTTTCTCTAAGCAAAGGTCTGGGAGTTGTATCGGTTTCCATGGCATGGGTTACCTTGTGATCCTGTTTACCTTCTGCCCACAGTGTCATGAGTTCACAGATGAGCTAACCTTCAGTGAGGCTCTTGGAGCTGTCTCCCTGGGTGGTCGCACCAGCCGTAGTACCTCAGTGTCTTCCCAGCCAATGGGGCCTGGCAGCCTGTTATCATCTTGCTGCCCTAGAAGGGTCAAGCGTCGAGCCATCCGCCTTGCCAACTCCACTGCTTTGGTCAGCCGTGGCAGCATGCAGGAGCTAGACACTCTAGCAGGGCTTCGGAGGAGCCCTGCCCCTCAGAGGTAAGTGCCGGGCTCACCTGTTTGTCCACCATTAGAAAGTGCAGAATTTGAGCCATGGGTTTGAGATTTCATGACTGTAGGCCTAGCAAGTCAAGCCCAAAACCAGATTCCTCTGGGCACGGATCTTGAGTTTGTCTTGGAAACCCCTCATGTTTCAAAATTTTAAGACAGGGTCTTGCTTTGTGTATAGGCCAAGTTGACCTTCAGTTTATGCTAATTCAGCTCCAGCCATCAGGTGGTAGAAAATACTCGAACATCACTACGCTTTGTTCTTCATTCTTTTCAATACTTACTGAGTAATAGCAGTGGCATATTCTATGGCCGACTAGTCATTCAGGAAGCTACGGCAGGAGGATCTCTTGAGCTGGGGATGTTGCTCAATGATAAACATTTGCCTAATATGAAGGAAGCCTTAGGTTCCACCCAATACACACACACACACACACACACACACACATGGGCTTGGGGAGTGAATCCGTGTGTCCTGAAACTTACATTTTAATAGGAAAAAACATTTAACAAACAAGTTTACAGATGACATACTGAATCAAACATTTGAAAGTAGCAAGCTGAAAAATAAATCAGGAACAGTGGCCAGAGACTACTGAGCAGAGGATGATACAGGGGTTCCTTTTAGATTTATTTTCAATTCTGTGTCTGTGTATGGGTATGTGCATGTGATTGTAGGTGCCCATAGAAGCCCTAGGCTTTAGGTCCTTAAGAGTTACAGTTATAGAAGGTTATGAACTGCCTGATGTGGTTGCTAGGAACCACAGTTTGGAAGAGCAGTACTCAGTCACTGAGCCATCTCTCTAGCTGTAGGCAGGCTTTCGTCGAGATCGCAGGTCAGCTCTGTCCCGACAGCCAGCTTCCAAATAACCATGCAGAGACTCATCATTGATTATAAATGCTCAGCCAAGAGCTTAGGCTTGTTACTATTAGCTCTTACAACTTAGATTAGCCCATATTTCTTTTTTTTTTTCCAATTTTTATTTAGAAAACCAAATCCAGGTTCTGGTGCTCCCCCATTCCCTCCCCCACCCCAGCCATAATTTAAATAACTTAGAGACAGAGTGGGAGGGGATAGAACAGAAGGAAGAAAGGAGAAGAGCCCACTACAGTCGCCTTAGTGCCCGCTTCTTATCCAACTTTTTCTTGGCTGCCAACTTCTTATCTCGCTCGCCTGCGTGTTTCTTGGCCATGGGACCCTCAGCTCCTCCCAGGACTCCTGGGGTCATAGGGTCAGTGGAGGCTGTAGCCCCACTTCCCATGCCCCGGGTAGCCTCAGCCCTCCCACTGCTGGAGCCACCTGCACCCCCATGGATCTCTGTGAGCAGTCGAGCCCAAGCAGCATACTCTTCATAGTTCTCCAAGAGCAGGCGGCTAGCCTCCTCGTTGAGTGCAGACTCTGGGTTAGGGTGGATCAGCAGGCACTTGATGGTCAGCAACACATGTCGAATGCCCAACTCAGCTGTCCAGTCCCTCTTGAGCACATTGACACAGATCTCACCATTGGCCCCCACATTTGGGTGGAAGATCTTGGTCAGGAAGTAGCCCTTGGGTGGAGAGGCAGGGAAATCCTTGCCCAGTAGGAGCTTCCTACAGAACAGACCTCCAGCATAGGGGGTGCCCTCAGGGCCCTCGATGGTAACCTGCAGGTCCGTGTGATCCTCCTCATTGGGGAAGACTTTAATGCCATCAGGTGGGTCGGCCATCAGTGTTGTCACCTCCTTGTACACTAGGCGTAGTCCATATTTCTTATCTACACTCTGTCACATGGTGGCACCTTTTTCAGCACGGTTCATCTTTCTTCTCTCTCCTCGCAATTCTCCAGACTCTGCCCGTCTTCTGCCGAGCTTCCTCTCAGTCCGGCTCTCCCACCTAACCCCTTTTTGCCTAGCTACCGGCCATTCAGTCATTTATTAGAGCAATGAGAGCAACAGATATTCACAGTGTACAAAGATTGTTCCACAGCAAGCAGCCTCGCTGCTTTCAGGTTGGGCGTGGTGGCACACACCTTTAATCCCAACACCCTGGAGACAGAGGTAACCTAATCTCTCTGAATTCAAGGCCAGCCTCGTTTATATAGTCAGTTCCAAGCTAGCCAGGGCTACCTAGTGAGAAGTGTCTCAAAAATAAGAACGGTCTTTCTTAGTACTGGGAATGGACCTGGGGTCTCACAAATGTTAGTTAAATATTCTACCACTGAGCCATGCGCAGTTTTAGTAGTGTGGTCACGAAAAGCTTTTTTTTTTCTTTCTTTTTTTTTTTGAGACAAGGTTTATCTGTAGCTTTGGAGCCTGACCTGGAACTAGCTCTTGTAGACCAGGCTGGCCTTGAACTCACAGAGATCCGCCTGCCTCTGCCACCCAAGTGCTGGGATTAAAGGCGTGTACCACCACTGCCCGGCTACAAAAAGCTATTTGGGGGCTAAAGATGGCTTAGTGGTTAAGAGCACTGGTTGTTCTTGAAGAGGACCTGGGTTTGGTTTCTAGAGCTCATATATGATGGTTCACAGCTATCTCTGCCTCCACTTTTAGAGGATCTGATGCCCTCTTCTGACCTCCATAGGCCCCAGGCATGCTGTGGTACATAAACACACATGCAGGCAAATCACTTATGCACATAAAGTAAAACAAAATAATCTAAAAGAAAATCTTCTTTTAAAGAAAAGAAAACTTTTCTGAAATGGTGTCCGAGTCCAGGTCTAAAGAAGGTAAGGGAGTAAGCCATACATGTAACTAGAGGAAGCGCTTTCCAGGCCGTGTCCCGCTGTGCAAATGCCATGAAGCCTCTGTACATCGGAGGTCTGGCAAGGAAACTACTCTGGGCAGAGTGGGAAGTCGGGGACAGGCAAGAAGGCAGACAGTCAGAAAGGAATGAGGACTCAGTTTTATAGATCCTAGTGTAGACATTTTAGCTTTTTGTTTGTTCTGTTTGGTTTTGAAGTAGGGTCTCACTATGTATGCAGCCTAAGCTAGCCTCAAGCTCAGGGTCTGCCTGCCTTAGCCTCTTGAGTGCCAGAATTAGTGGTGTGTGTCACTATTACCTATTCCTATTATAGATCCTTGTAATAGTTTTGGCATTGTTAAAAACAATAGAGGGACTAGGGAGGCGGCCCTGCTTAAGAGTACTTATTGAGTCGGGCAGTGTTGGCACACACCTTTAATCCCAGCACTGTGGCGGCAGAGGCAGGTGGATCTCTGTGAGTTCAAGGCCAGGCTGGTCTACAGAGTGAGTTCCAGGATAGGCTCCAAAGCTACAGAGAAACCCGGTCTCGAAAAACAAAACAAACGAACAACAACAACAACAAAAAGAGTACTTATTGCTTTTGTAGAGAATCTGGGTTCAGTTCATAGAAGCACCCACATAGTGGTGGCTCATAACCACCTATAACTCCAGTTTCAGTGATTCGATGCATGAAGTACTCAGACAAACATGGCAAGGATCTGGATTTATTCCCCAACATCACAAAAAGTGTGTGTGTGTGTGTGTGTGTGTGTGTGTGTATACCCTATGTCCAGGCACTTTTTTTGGTGTGGTAAAATGTGATCACAATTTGAACCTAAGACCAGTTAGTTGACTGCAGAATGGACCTCCTTTACCGTAATTGAGGATGCAGGAAGAATTTGTAGCACAGTGCAAGGGACCAAGTAGGTGCTTCATCAATGTGACAATTGGTGTGGCAATTATCAAGATGACTTTTTAAGAGTATTCCATCTTCCCTACCCCTGTTCACAGCCGCTCAAGCCTCAATGCCAAGCCTCATGACAGCCTTGACCTGAACTGTGATAGCCGGGACTTCGTGGCTGCCATCATCAGTATCCCCACCCCTCCTGCCAACACACCAGATGAGAGTCAACCTTCCTCCCCTGGTGGTGGTGGTGTCAGTGGTGGCCGAAGCAACCCTACCCTCAGGAACTCCAGCTTGGGTACCCCCTGCCTCCTTCCTGAGACTGTGAAGATCTCTTCCCTGTGAGGGATGGGTCTGCCCACTCAGAGGGCCTCTTAATTTTTGGGAACTCCTTTCCAAAGCCATATTTGGGAGAGGCAAAGAGGGGCAGACCTGGGGACCCCTTATGCTCCCTGCCAAGAACTATGCAATGGAGTTTCATGGAATGGCCCATCTGGTGGGGAAGTAGCTAGGGCATGGGAAACAATTTTCCTAACAGGAGCTGAAGCACTGGGACTTCATAGGTCCTGGCCTCCTTGCCTCAGCATGCCGGGACTGGCCTCTCTCTCCTAACCTGGCCTCTTGCATGCTCCTCCCTTGGGCCCTCAGAGGCAGGTTAAAGTGCTCTGTAGTCTAACATTTGAGGTCTGGCCTGACAAGAAGAGATTAGAGTTCCTCTTCTCTTTGGTTGTGCTGTGCAAGTTCGAGGGTTCAGAAAAGAGAACCCTCAACTCTAATTTTGCCTATAGTGGGCAAGGTCTTTGCCCTTCACCAGGCCCAGCACTTCCCAGATTTGGAAGCTGTGGGCTGGCTTAATGGGCTGTGGCCTCTGGAGTGACCCACTACCCCAAGCTTTGGCTGAGGGCTCAGGCTGCTTCTCCTAACACAGAGATAGCACAAACACCACCACCTGCTTCCCTGGCTGCTGGAAATGAGTTCCTGCCACCTGCCCTCTGCTGGGCCTCCAGCAAACTCTAGCAATAGCAGCTGCTGCCGTAACCATATGCAAAGCCTCCGAGCGATTTGCTGCAGCATATACATCTGCCCCAATCAGATGGGCCACATCTAACTACTTTCTTCTCTGGTGTTTTTTTTCTTCGGTTGGTCTGGATTCTGGACCTGCTGAGATAAGAGCCTGGCACCCAGCTCGAGCAGGGCTGGGTTTTGAGATCATGGGCTGACTCTGTCGTCTTGGGCAGGAGTCCAGAAGTGTAGGCAGAAGCCTGGGTTGTTTCTGAACCCTGGGAGAGACAGAAGAGACTTCTTGATTGCCTCCTCCTGTAATTTCCACATAGTCTTCTCCTCTCTCTCTTGGGTCACCTGCTGGATCTGTGCTCTCAGACTGAAATTTCACGTCATCTCAGGTTCCCTGTCTCCCAGCTCTGCCCCCCACCCCGAAGCCTGCAGCTGACAAAGATGAAGTCTTCATCAGTCAATAAAACTTAAGAGGAGAGATGTGGATTGAGCATCTACTGACTCTGGATTGACTTTGAGGGCTTGGCTTAGGGGTTAAGGACACTCTGGTCTCAATTTCTTTCAACAGTGAAGGGGCTGATGTGGGTAGAAGTATGGGGTATGGGAGGCGGATGGCTACTGATGTATTCTTGAATGAAGATGAGGATCATGGAGAAATGAAAGAAGGTGATAGGAAGAGTTGGTCTCTGGAGGCAGTAAAGCAGGCCAAAGGGTACTAAGACTGATGTATCTTGGGATTTTTTCCAAGACAGGGTTTCTCTGTATAGGCCTGGCTGTTCTGGAATTAGCTCTATAGACTAGGCTGACCTTGAACTCAAGAGATCTTCGTGCCTCTGTCTCATGAATACTGGGATTAAAGGCATATGCCACCATGCCCAGTGGTGTACCACGGATATTAATCTATTCCAAGTCCTTCATTCACAGATGGAGAAACCAAGATCCAGAGCAACATTGTTGTTACTTAGAGGGGTAAAAGCTCATGTTTTCTGATAGCAAAACCCTACACATTTAACCCTAATAAAATTATTTCTGAGTTTGTTATATCCTCCTTTGTCATGGATGTCCCCTACATTCACTCCTGGATGCTGGCCACGCCAGGCTAGTATGTGACTGAGCTCTGTAGAAGACTGCGAAGACAAATAGTGGATTCAGACTGCCATGTTTCAAGCCTTGAGTGAGAGGATCAACTTTTGTGTCAGGTCGCTAATTTGAAATAGATTTTTTGTTTGTTTTAGTTTTTGTTTTTGTTTTCTGAGACAGGGTTTCCCTGTGTAGCTTTGGAGTTTGTTTTGGAATTTGCTCTGTAGACCAGGGTGGTCTTGAACTCACAGAGATCCACCTGCCTCTACATCTCAAGTGCTGGGATTAAAGGCCTGTGCCACCACTGCCCGGCCAGTAGTTTTTTTGTTTGTTTGTTTGTTTTTTTGGTTTTTCGAGACAGGGTTTCTCTGTGGCTTTGGAGCCTGTCCTGGAACTAGCTCTGTAGACCAGGCTGGTCTCAAACTCACAGAGATCCGCCTGCCTCTGCCTCCCGAGTGCTGGGATTAAAGGCGTGCGCCACCATCGCCCGGCTCGGCCAGTAGTTTTTTAATCATCAAATATTTATTAACTGCCCATCATGTAGTAGCACTATGATACAATGATGGGCAAAGAGGCATTACTATGTTTAATATACAGAGTTGCGCATGGAAGGCAGAGAAGCAATTCCAATACGAGGTGGTGGAACTAAGAGTGATGAATTATAGAAACATAGATGGCAAGGTAACCTAAACTAGCTATCATAAGATTTGTATGTATACAAGGAGTTGGAGTTAGGCAAGAGAGGAAAGGCTGAAAATGTGGGTGGAGGGCACAGTGTGTCCAATGATCTGGAGGCTAGAGAGTGAGCTCAATGCCTTTGGGGAACTGAAAGTAGTTCAGTCTAACTGGGAAGGAGGGTGCAAGGCTGAAGGGAGGGAAGTAGATAGTACAGGTTGCAAAAGGCCTTGCATAAGGGGGGACCACTGAAGACTCAGAAACAGGGAAGTCATTAAGTTTCCATTTCAGAAGGATAATTTTGGCCATGAGGTAAAAGTTATGGAGAAAAAGTCTTGAGTGAAGGAGACTCCGTCAAGGACTTTTGTGATAGTCCATTTGGTAGGGGATGTTGGCTTGCCTATTTTGATAGCAATAGAATTCAAAAGTTGTTGCTCGGGAAGCAGAGGCAGGCAGATCTCTGTGAGTTCGAGGCTAGCCTGGTCTACAGAGCAAATTCCAGGACAGTCTTCCAAAGCTACACAGAGAAACTCTGTCTCAAAACCAAACCAAGCCAAACTAAAGAAAGTCATGAAATTCCAGGGATAGAATTAGCAGGACTTGGAATTGACAGGCAAATGGGAATTGGAGAAGAGGAAGCTGTCAAATTTGACTCAGGTTTCTGGTTTGGGTAATAACTGGTGGAGGGGTTGTTTTGCTATTAAAGGACACATGAAAGCTTTTACTACAATGTCAGGTATATAGTTAAGTATTGGATGAAGGCTAGTCTAGTTTTAGGCGGGTAGTGCTGAGCAGATATCCTGTAGGCAATGAGATATGTGTCCAAAGACAACCATAAGACAAGTCGGTATAATGTTCATCAGCATTGGGCAGAAATCCCTGAATACGGAAGTCCCAGGAGATATGAGTCTTCTCAGGAACAGAAAACATCACTAGGACCTGTATGTACCCACGTATTACTGATGCCTTTCGGAGAAAAGCTTCTGTTAGGGTTAGCATCTGAAGGGAGGTGGTTAGGTGGTCTTTCTGTTTCCTCCAAAATATTTTTTGTTGGAGACAGGGTCACCATGTAGTCCTGGCTAGCCTTGAACTCTCTCTCTTTAAAATTATTTTATATGTATTGGTGTTTTGTCTACATGCATGTGTTTGCATCACTAGCATGCCTACAGCAGGCTGAGGCAAAAAGAGGTTTTCAGATCCCTGGGACTGGAGTTTCAGATGGTTGTGAACCACCATGTGGGTGCTGGAAATTGAAACTGCTCTGGAAGAGCAAATGCATGTTCTCTCTCTCTCTCCCCCCCCCCCCCAGGTTTTTTCAGACTGGGTTTCTCTGTGTAGCTTTGAGCTTTGGTGACTGTCCTGGAATGAGCTCTTATAGATCATACTGGCCTAGAACTCACAGAGATCTTTCTGTCTCTGCCTCCTGAGTGCTGGGATTAAAGGCGTGCGCCACCACCACCTGGCTGAGAAAATACTCTTAACCACTTAGCTGTCTTTTTAGCCCCTGGCTTTGAGCTCTTGATTGTCCTGCCTGAACTTCCAGAACGATGATAACCCATTGCTGATATTGCGCTTTGGATAGGAAATCTTAAAAGGGACAATGATTTGCAAAAGTTTCCATGTGTGCCTAGAACCGAGGTTTTCCTTCTACGGAATCAAAGTCCAGGATCCTTCTCCCACATTACCATAGATTCTAATTTATGTAGCACTTACTGTGCGCCATGCACAGAACCAGGCCATTTATTGGCATTAATTTCTAACACAGAAATTATTGCTGTTTTACAGAGAACTAGAAATAGAGGATGGATCAGGTGTTAACTAACTTGCTCCAAATACTCAAACATTAAGGGTCACGCTAGTAGCGTTCTAGCTGCTCAATATCAAGGATTTTGCCAACACCACTGGGAGACACTAGCTGCTGACAGTGTTGATTTGTAAACTTTCTCTTTTCCTGAGTAAACTAGGATGGGGGGGGGGGGCGGTGCAAGTGGCGATAAAGGCTGTTCCGCGCCTGCGCAATAGCCATGGGCTTGAGGAGGTCAACGTGAGGCTAAGAAGGCGGAGGTGACAGAGAAGGCGTGTCTTTCCTCCAAACACTATCCGTAGGGTGCATGTCTATCTAGCGGTTGGCCGATCTGAAATGATGGGCAGAATCGTTAAGCCAATCACCGCAAGATTATGTTTGTTGTCAGGGTGAAGCAGGGTGCCGCCTTTTCCGGTTTACAGGTGGGTAGTACCGGACGTGATGACAGAGGGGATGATACGCTCTGGGAATGTTGATAGTTTCCAATGAGTGTGTTCTGAGTTCCAGATGGGCTCCTTGAGGAAACGGGGTGTACTGTTCGCGAGGCCCGCCATTTTGTTTGTTTATAGTACCGCTGCCTGTGGGTTAGGACCTTGGAGGAAATAAAGAACAGAACGGAACCGACGAGAAAAGCTGGGAACACGGCTACAGACTTTGAAATTTGAGACGGAGGACACGAGAGAGAGAGAGAGAGAGAGAGAGAGAGAGAGAGAGAGAGAGAGAGAGAGAGAGAGAGAGAGAGAGAGAGAGAGAGCGCTCATCCCTGATTGGCTCGTGCGTGTTGTCAAGGCTTTACGCAGCTTCTTCAATTGGTTGACATGTGCCGTTGGGACCGCGGCGACGATTTTGCCCACGTACTTCCGTAAAAGAGACCGGGTTGTGTCCCGCTGCGCGTGCGCATAGCCCGGGAGGCCCCACCCGGTAGTTCAAGAACCTGTGTAGGGGCGGGGCGAAGAGGTGCTTGTTTTGGTTGTGTTTCCTTTGAAGCTGAATCCCGGAACAAGGTAGCAATAAGCTTGGCTGGACTTGGAGGGAGAAAAAGCTACAACAAGTTCGTCTCTGTACCATCCTATTGGACCTCACATCCGGGATCTCCTCCGGGCGTGACCTGCGTACTGCCTACGGTTCTCGAACCGGTGTGCCGGTCTCTTTATCCAGGCCTCTCTGTTCCCATCGTGCTTCGCGCACAACAGTAGCCCCCTCATCCGGGTTCTCTCCCGGCGTTCTCCGCGACTGGTTTGCTGTGGGGTACTTGGCGGTGCCGCCATGACTATTCTCCCCAAAAAGAAGCCGCCACCTCCCGACACTGACCCGGCTAACGAACCGCCGCCGCCCGGGCCGCTGCCCCCAGCGCCTCGACGCGGTGGGGGTGTGGGCGTGGGCGGCGGCGGCACGGGCGTGGGTGGAGGAGAACGCGACCGTGACTCCGGCGTCGTGGGGGCTCGTCCCCGGGCTTCACCACCACCTCAGGGCCCACTACCGGGGCCGCCTGGTGCTCTTCATCGTTGGGCACTAGCCGTGCCGCCTGGTGCAGTGGCGGGCCCTCGGCCACAGCAGGCTTCTCCACCTCCTTGTGGGGGCCCTGGTGGCCCCGGCGGCGGTCCTGGTGACGCTCTTGGTGCGGCAACTGCGGGGGTGGGCGCGGCAGGGGTGGTGGTGGGCGTGGGTGGTGCTGTGGGCGTGGGCGGCTGCTGCTCGGGCCCGGGGCACAGCAAGCGGCGGCGTCAAGCTCCCGGCGTTGGCGCAGTTGGCGGGGGCAGTCCGGAGCGTGAAGAGGTCGGAGCAGGCTACAACAGTGAAGACGAATATGAAGCTGCCGCGGCACGAATCGAGGCCATGGATCCTGCCACTGTGGAACAGGTAAGGGCTGGAAGGTGAGAGCACGGGAGTCCGCCAGACTGAAAAGGACCTAAGGAAGTGTTGTTTCAGATTGGTCCTAGAAATTTAGGTCTTGTTGCTGAACCTGATCTGGTGGAGAAGGCATGATGAAACCTCATTCCCCCGCTTCAAAGACAGTATTAGGGGCCCTAAGTACGCTAAGATACTTCTAGATGAGAACTTGGAGCTCTTTTGCACCCCATACTTGTCAGTCCTGGTCCTGGGGTCTCATCTGCATGACTGATGGTTGGAAGGCCCCAGGAGTCACAGGTAGGTTGGAGATCTCAGGTCTTGCTAAGGGACTTTGGGTCAGTGACTTTAAGAGCGTTTTTTTTTGGGGGGGGGGACGAGTCTGAGATTTTTCTCTCCAAACAACTCAGACAAGGAAGTGTACTTAAAGATAAGGTCTAAGCATACCCAAGAAACCTAAAACTTTAAAGAATCTGATATTCTTCATGTAGGAAGGACCCTTTTCGCCTTTGCAGAGTTGACAGGTCTGTTGACCAGCCATGCCCGTGACCTCCTCGGGAGTGTCAAGCATCTATTGAAGGACCTAGACCACCTCCTTGTAGAATTGAGGGTTTAGAGTAAACTCTCACACCTGTAGGTAGTGATTTTCAAAGCATCCCTCCAGGGATGTGAAACTTCTTCCAGGAAATAAAGTTCTCTAACCCTTGGAGACAAAGGCTGAAACCAATACCTAGGACCAGAGACTTCCTGTCTCATACCCTTTCTGAGTGACATTGGCTTGTATTTTCTATCAGTGGACTGATACCTGTGTCCTTGGAGACCAGGGTCTAGATTTCATCTCGGAGATGTGTTCTTTGCCTCCACCCCACCATTCAGTCACGGACCTGAGCCTTTCTTCAAATGAATGAGACTCAGAACTTTGGTTGATCTTGATGTAAAGACAAAGACCTCTTTGCTTATGGTCTGGGGTTTTACAGACTGGGCCTGTGGTCTCTTCAGGAGTGTGACACTTCTAGATGTTTCAGGCAAGAAGAGCTCTTAGGACATGCTTTCATTCAGACTGGTGTCTTTGCTCTTGGGGGAGTCATATATTCCCCTAAGGATATATGTCTTACTGATTGAAATTCACTTCAGGGAGTCAATATCCCATCTTCCCCCTTCAGTGAATCTAAAGACTTCTCTGATTCCCCAGGGGTTGAGCTGTTAATCTCTCAGGGAAATAAAAACTCGCAAGTCACTAAACACAGATTAAGTTTCTTGGAAAAAAACCCGAGGCTTCTCTCAGGAAGAGCTCCATCTCCCCTGGAGAACTCTCACCTATTGACTTTGCAGATGAGGTCCTAGAACCTCTGGGCCCTGTCCAATCCCTGCTTTGGAAACTCCAGCCTCAGGGCATGGACAGTTTGGAGACCCAGAGGTGTGTCAGAGTTCTGCTTCTAAACCTGCCTTCCAAGGCCTGAGGCTTTCTTTTCTGTGAAGGACATGAGAGTTTTCTTAGGAACAGGAGCTTCATATTCATACTCCTAAAGACTCATTCAAGAGCTAATGTCTGAAGTTCCTGCTCAAGGAATTTGAGGTGCTCTTTAGAGACAGGATGACATTTCCCACCAGGACTGAGTTGTGGCACTTTCTTTTGGGCATGATTATAGGTCCCTGAGGAACAGGAACTTAGTCTCTTTCCAAGGGCTTTCAGCATCACATCTGTTGTTTGAGGGATTGTTCTACTCCTTAGATTCTAAGTATATTCTTCATAGGAGTCTTTTAGGAACATAAGATTCTCTTTGGGGAGAACTTGAGGCTCAGGGACATTGGCAGCTTGGGCCTCTTACCTCTGAAACATTTCTCTCAGGGTCAAGAGGTTCTTTGCCTTGGGGACTGAGGCCTGCGTCCTTGCTTAGGCATGCAGCTCTCCTCCCAACATCTCAGGTGATTCTTTCTTACCAAGGAGAGGATGTGAAGTCATCGTGAGTATGGCGAGAGGCTTCTTCCTTTGAACAGAGAGGACCTGGGTGTTCTTTTCATAACAGTTCTTTGCCCTCAGGTCAGAGCCTACAAGGTTGTCAGATCCTGGGCCCAGAAGCCTGAGGCATCCCTCAAACTGGTAGAGATTCTGACTCATTTCATTTGTTGCTTCCTACTTCAATGGTCCTGATAATTTCTCTCACATCCATTTCCTTTGTCACATTTTTTTCTATTTTTCAGAGAACAGAGTGTGGTCTCAAATCTACTGTTCTTGTTCCTTTCTTATCATTTCTGACGGAACAAATCATCTGGATTCACAGATGTCAGGTCTGGGAGTTATGAATCCCTGATTCTTGTAAAGTCTGTTTGCCCCTTACAGAGCTATACATTCTTTGTTCCGGGGACAGAGAAGGTATGTTGTTTATGGAGATGCAAAAGGCAGTTTGCAGTTCTGCCCTTATATTCGTCCTCATAAGAACTTGGAAGTAAGATCTGATGGACTCCTAAAACTTACTCTTACCTATGACAGGGGAGAGGCTTTCTGTTCTGCTGTGGGACAAAGGGAAGATAGAGCTCCTCCTTTTCTTGCTGCCTTTCCTGGCCAAACATTGAGCCTTTTGGGGATGAGAAGAAGCGAGAATGGTTCTGCTACCCTAATCTTGGCCCACAACTGTTGCTGAAGATGTTTATAACTCAGGGGCTAGTTTGATACTGACAGAAGGGGATGATGATTAGTTTGGGTGGTGAATCTGGTTCCAGTTCTATGAATATATATTCATGTTCCCTTTAGGGTTCTCCAGGTACCTGGGGTCAGGGTGCTGGGGAGATGATGCCAGAGGGTTCCCTTTGGCATGGTCACCTTGCTGAGAGCCTGTCCACTGAAAACTGGCTTGTAAGCATCCTGAGCTAGGAGAGACCTCACAGAGATCTTGGAGAAAGGGGCATACATGCTGAGATAGTGGAAGATGCTAGGCTTAGCAGTGTAGTCAGTGTGTGGATCCTACTTCTCAGTCTGCATAGCTTCTGCTTCTCTCTGCAGTTTCCTTCCTTACTCTCTTGCTCATGTGCTGATGCATTGCCAGTTAGCTTTGTTTTTGGGGTTTCAAAGCTCCTTATACCTGAAGTTGATAGTGAATAATAGGTGTTCTTTGAAGAGGAGCTTCTTTTTCTTCCTTACTTCTTCCCCAGTCATAGAGGTTTGATGAGTAGGATTTGGTATGAGGCTTAACGATAATGGGTGGCAATGTTGTAGCCAGCTATGAAGTTCCACAGTTGTATGTGGAAAGAATTTGGGATTTGGAGCCAGGTAGGCTTGATTTCAAACTCTAGTGTTAACTGTTGAACTGGTTTTATGATTGTAGAACTCACATTTTAGGGCAAAAAATTCATGAGGGTTATTAGAGTATAAATATCTTAACCATCTTGGCTGGTTCTTTTTGCTCAGGGTGAATATTTTGCCCCAGTACCATCTTGTTTTCTTCCCAAGAGGCTTTGTCCGTCAATAGGATCCATCTCTTCACATTTAGAAGCTTGCCCACCTGGAATTGGGTGGTTGGCTGGTAAGGAAGCAGCATGTGGTCTCTGACCTGGCAACATGGATCTGAGTCCTTTTTCTATATTAAACTTTTCTGTGGTCTTTGCAGAGTTCCCTTTCAGGGTCTTTCATTCTTTCTTTCTCTCTCCATTTTTTTTCTAGACAGGGTTTCTCTGGGTAGCTCTGGATGTCCTGGAACTCACTCTGTAGACCAGGCTGGCCTCCAACTCAGAGTTCTGCCTGCCTTTGCCTCCTAGGTATTAAGATTAAAGGAATTCACTACCACACCCGGCTTGGATCTTGATTTCTCTACCTATTAAATAGGTAGTGATGAGGAGAGTGGTTGGACTCATTGCTTTGAAGATAGTTATAATCTTGCCTTTAATTTCCTGTTTTACACTCTTCTGTCCTTTATGGAATTTTATGTGGGAGCCTTGACTCTGCAGATGTTAACCTTTTAGCAGATGTGCTATAATGTTGCAGCCAGTGTTGAACTTCTTTCTTCCTGGTAGATGCTGTAGGTTCTTTGGTGGTTTTGTGTTTAACAGTTTTATTGTGATGAAACTCATGTACACAGTTTTCTGAATGTGATGGCTAATACCTATATTCCCATCATTTGGGAAACTGAGGCAAGAGGATTGCCAAGAGTTTGACACCAGCCTGAGCTATAGTGTTGAGATTTTAAGATAGCCAAAATAAAAAGTGTACAATTTAATGGTTTTCAAGAAATCCATAGAATCGTACTTCTGTCATCAGTCAGCTTTAGAATGTTTTTTTTTTTAATGTCATAGAACCCTTTATACCTTTTAACCCCTACCCCCAATTCCTTCATCTCTTTCCAGCCCCTGGCAACCCACTAATTTGTCTGGACTGATCAACTATTCTGACACAAGCAGAGCAGAATCATATAGTGATGTAGTCCTTGTAATTTTCCTTTTTTTTTTTTTTTTTTAGTTAGCCTGTATTCCAGGCACATACATGGGATAGCATATATCAGTACTTTGTTTTTATCACCAAATAATAGGATCTTGGGTTTTTTAGTCCCTCAGTGGTCCAGGAACAGGTTGGAGGGGGGTCTTTCTCTTTCTTCTATTTTGGTGGGCTTGTGTGGGTCTTGAGAAGCAGTATGTCCGTGTTTCTCATTGGATAGATTGCCGGTGTTTATTACCCCTGGAGCAGGGCCAGTGTTCCTGAGTGTTTCGGGTGAGGGGGTGGTGTTGGCTCCGAGCTTGCTGGGACAAAGCTGGGAGGCCTGGAATACTAAACACCTCTTGGCCATGGGCGCTGAGAAGACATCTGTCCAATGCCGTTGCCATCCTTTCCTGCACCCTTCCCCCTTTATTGGCAGCTCTTTTACCCACAGGCTGGGTCAGCAACTTCCCAGGCTGAGAGGGAGGATTCCAGACCCCTACTGCTTTTTAATTTTAACCCCCTCTTTAGGTAGGTGGATGGTGCAGAATGGGAGCCATGCTATGTTGTCTGACAGCCACAAAGTTCTAGAGCTCACATACCAAAG